GTTATAGAACTAAGAACTTAAACCTTGTATACTATTAAAATATGGATTATTAGCTAAGATTTTATGCTATTCCAATTGGCATTACAAAAAGTAGTTTAATAACATTTTTAATATAAGACACAAACCTTGTGTCATGCATTTTATGTGTTTTGCATGTATATATTGTTACGACAGCATTAAGAGAGCTCAATGCTAGCAATTTCAACACAGGGAAGATGCCAGGGCAAGAAAGGCTGCTACCCAGAAAGGTTGTTGGAACTGTGGAGAGCAAGGACATATGAGGAGCCAGTGTAAGAAGAATACTACCAATAAGTCAGCCTCAGGGAAACCAGTAGTGGTTTGTGCTGAGGGACGCCTACCAACCCCCATCGTGAAAGTCCCAACAGCTAAGTGTAAAATGGGAAGCACACATATTGTCTACGTGACAGAAAAGCTGGATGGCCAAAGGTGCAACTTTGTCATAGATTCTGCATCTCAGCAAACCCTTGTTAGCATCAAGGTGGTAGATCACAAAGGAGTACCAGAAGCTCTGTGGTGTGACAGGACACTATGCAAGGTTGTAGGGACCAGTGTGGGTAACTATTGAGCTCATTGGCATAAAGGACAGACATGAAGTATACTTGGCTGACATTGAAGACCAATACATACTTAGGTTAGACTACTTACTACCGAGGAAGTGTGTAGTTAATATTGATAAAATGATATTTGGGAACAACAAAGGCCAAATTCTGGTAAGTGTTAAAAGAGAGGTTGGACTAACCACGTGTCATCAAGCTGAAGTCAAAGTGACTGAAGGAGTTGATGATGGTGAAGTGGAACCAGGTATAGATATTAAAGCAGAACAGGAGAAAGACCAAGATTTGAAGCCAATAATTGATTTTCTAAAAGCAAGTGTTTTGCACCCTGCTTGAGAGAACGTGTCTAGCTTAAGCCCTGTGACAAAGAACTACTGGGCACAATGGGACTAGTTGGAGCTTGAAGACTGTATTCTTGTCCGGGGATGGGAAACTGCAGATGGGAAAGTGACGACCTGGCAAACAGTTATACCCAGAAAGTTATGGGAAGTTGTGCTGCATCAATCCCATGATAGTTATAACAAGTTGGTGCACCAATGGATAGAGTAGCCATTGACATTGCTGGTCCTTTGCCTCAAAATCGTGCTGAAAACAAGTACATTTGTGTGGTAATTGATTATTTTAACAAGTGGCCTGAGGCATATGCAATACCAGATCAGGAAGCTACAACTATAGCTTCAGCTATTAGTGATTTCTTCTTCAGGTTTGGTATGCCATTCGAACTGCATTCAGATCAAG